GGGGGACTTAGCACTTAACATTTATTGAATTTAATTTCCAAAGTCACAGAAGCAGTAAGCCGAAGAACTAGGATTCAAATCCTCCAAATCAGTTATGACACACAGCCTTATCACAGGGGCGAGTGGGAACTAACAAGGCTGGGGGTGACGTGGGAGAAATATGAATAATGAATGAGGTGAGAACTACGATTCGGGAGGTGGGGCAGGCCTGACTTACAGACACCTGATCTCCCCAACCAGAGCCTTCCCCCCCAGCCCACACCTGACCCTGCTTAGTCCCTGGGCAGCCGCATCTCCCAGACGCCTTCCATTCGCACTGAAGCCGCACCAAGGTGCGGCTTGTGGGACTCCAGGATGGGAAGGAGGAGGAGGTGGAGGGATCGAGAATCAGAGCTCTAAGTGCTAGAGCAGGTGGACTAAAGACTTTCCCAGGTCCTGGAAATTCCAGGAGCCATATTTCACATTATTTAGTATTTGAGTAAAACAAGACAGCTGTGGGGCATGATGGAAAGAGGGTACGACTTGAGATCGGGAAGATCTGAGTTCAAATCCTTCCTCAGACATTAGCTCAGTGAGTGTGCATAAGACAATTAACCTCTCTATGCCTCAGTTTCCTCATCTGTAAAACAGGGATAACAATGGTGCCTACTTTACAAGGTTGTTGTGAGGATCAAATAATTTATGTAAAATGCTTTGCTAACTTCAAAGTATCAGATAAATGTTAGATGTTATTATTTCCTCTCCTGGTTGGGGAGGCTCAGTCCTTGGCTAAAACTGATGAATCTCTCAGTCTCATTTGTGAACCAGCCAGCTGTTGCTAGGGGCAGCTGCTACACTCTGGCTTCTGTGGGAAAGGAGGCTGAAGAGTCAGGGAGGAGGGATGGTGTGTGTGTGTGTGTGTTGAGAGGAGTGAGTGGGAGAGAGGGGATGGGGGAGGGGAGGGATGGCTGCTGCCTGGAGGGTCTTGGGGACAGGCCACCCAAATCGTAAGGACATCAACTTCAATTGCCATCAAACACCATCTCCTCTGCCTGGCGGTTGCCTTGGACCGACCATTCTGCATGACTCCTTCTACTGGGAGGCGAGGAAAGAAATACAGGGAAAGGTTTATGCCCAAAGAAGAGTTGGGGGAGGCAGGGAAGAGAGAAGAGACAGGCTGCGGGATGCTGGGAGGCCAAAGAAGCAGCCGGTAACCCTGGGGAAAGGGGCCGGCTTCCAGTCTCCCCCTCCCTCCCTCTGCCTTCCCATGGTTCCCATTCCCTCAGTAACCTGGAGGCTGGCAGGCAGTGAATAGTCAGACTGTACCATTCAAACTTTCACCAGGGGAAGGTGAGAGCATTGGGAGGTCTTGAAGGGCTGAGAAAAGAGCTAATTCTCACTCCACTCTGGCCTTCTCCCCTTCATATTCCTGCTGTCAGCCCTAACTGTGCCATTGCCACTACCTCTCCTCAAGGGAATGAGGGAAGTCATGACAGTCCTCTAGGCTGGGGGCCCTGAGAGCTCCCAGGCTGATCTGGGGAACTTCTTTCCACTTCTCAGTTGCCATCCCTGCCCCTTGCCCATCCCCTCTTCTTCTTCCCTTCCCCCCAAGTCAGGACCAACAGCCCCGGGAGAGAAGAGAGGGGTGGGAGGTGGGGGGAGGCCCACTTTATCCCACTTCTTAGGATTGTCCTTAGCGGGACAAAAGCAAATTAAAAGCTCAAGCCAGAGCAGGACAAGAGCCTCCAGAACTCCAGAGACCCGAGAAGAGGTCACCAGGGAGAAGAGACTGGCCACCCATCTCCACTGAGGAGTCCCTTTGCTTTTAGAGTGACTTGGGCGGGACGGCATCGTCCCAAGAAGTCTTTGGACTGAGTGCACTGAGAAGAGGTCAGTTCCCTGTAGCCCTCCTCCTCAGAGAGAGCCACAGGGGGTTTGGGGGATGACACGAACGGATTGAATCCTGGGCTTCTCTGGGGTGGGGGGCAATGAGGCAGGGGGGAGGCAGGCTGCGCCCCCAGATTGGGGCACCCTTTTCCCAGAATGAACTTCCGTCCTTGCTTCACCTCCTCAATGTGTTTGGTTAAGTAGCATCTCTGGAAGAAGGCCTGAGAATTGGGGGTTTCCTGCAGATTCCCATGGGGAAGTTACCAAGGAAGGAGTTAGTCTAGAGACTCAGTCTGTCCGACGGGTCTACACAGGGATGGCCAGAGGAGGGATGTAGCCTCTGACGGTTCCTCCCTCGGCCCCGAGACCTGCTGCCCCCCATTCGCCACTTGCTGGCAGCTTTCCTCTCTCCCAGTGCTCTGTCTCCAGGACACCAGTAGTGGACATCTGTGGCGACTGTCACTAAAGCGACATTAGGAGGGGATGAATAGAGGGGGTTCTGCAGCCCAGCCAGCTTCAAGTCTCAAGGAGAAGGCGGTTTTGCATTTTTCAGCAATGTGATGTCTGGGATGGGGCACTGGACTGGGAGTCAGGGATCTGAGTTCTTAGCTCTCTTTCTTTCGCTTACTGTGTGAGCTGAGCAAATCGTTTGACTTCTCTGAACCTCAGTTCCCTCATCTATAAAATGGGGGCAATAATCCTTGTACTGTAGAGCTCACAGGGTCGTCATGAGGAAAATGCTTTCTAAACAGATATGTAAGTGTGAGCAATTATTCAAGCCTTTTGGTGGTGACCACTAATCGCAAGTATTCTTACATCTTCGTTAAATCCTGGCATTATTAACCCCATATGGATATGCGGATCATAGATAATTCGAAGGGACCTTGAAGGTCATCTATTCCAGTCCCCTCAGTTTCTAGGCAAGAAAAATGAGGACAAGAGGAGTGACCTGTCTAGGGTCAAACAGATAAGATGGAGTAGAGACAGGATTTGAACCCAGGTCCAGTGACTTCAATTTACCTTTAATGGTACACTACCTCTACTGATTAGAAATAATTAGGAGTTATTAATTGGAGTGGACTGTGGTCTCCACCAAGAATCTTATTCAGAGACATTATCTTGGGGAAGGCAGGTTGGAGGGCATGTATTGCCTTAAAGATAATACAATAATATTGCTTCAAACGTTTTAGACATCCCCCTAATTCAGACAGGCTTTCTTCAAAGTCAGTCCAAATTAGGGAAGTTTGCAGACACCATGCTTGGGATAAGACCCTCACCCACCCCCGTCTTCTCTGTCCTCTCTATATTTCCCTCTAAATGAGGGAAAACCTCCTTTTTCTCAGGCCCCAGGGCAAACTACAGAGAGCACCTGGACTCCTCTCCCTCCTAGAAATGAGTAAAAAGTCAGGATTTGAGTTGAGCCCAGACTGGTCTTTGGGCTGGCTGCCTGAGAGGTGGAGGCCCCTGAATTGCTAGACAGACATCAGAATTTCCACAGGGCCTGAGCTGGGAGAGCTGGGCCACTGCCTGGAAATAATCAGAAGGAAGAGGGTCAGGATGCTTACTGCCAGCCTGCCTCTGGACAAGCCATAGGCAGGACTGAGAAAGGAGAAGCAGGGACCCAGAGCTTGCTTCTGATATGATTGGTGAGTGCTGAGGATGTATGGGGGCAGTGGCAGGGGGAGAGGAGACTGTTAGGGGAGCTGGGCTGCTACTTTAATGATTAGGACGCATTAGCATGACAACTATCACTTTTCCGTGGACCACAGTGATCACAAAAAATAAAAAACAAACAAAAAAAAAGGCCCAGTCCAAACTGATCCAAGTGTGGCTCTATCCTGGGCTATCCCCTACAGAAGCAGGGGAAAAGGAGGACCACTTAATGTTTGCTGATTTAATATTTTCTCAAGAGAAATATCACTGAAGAGGTGAATCTGTTGTCCTTAAAATATGACAACGTCCAAAGCTAAAAAGAAATTAATTTTGGGATGCTCCTGCTTCCCTCCACGAATGACAGTCCAGAGGTGTCTGTTACTTCTCATTCGTTATTACAGATCACAGCATTCATTCTTACTGTCCCTTCTGGGGATGGCTGGCAGCTACCACCCTGATCTTCTGTTATCTGTCTGTTTTCAGATGCATGATTTTGTTTTGTCTTTATAAATAACATCTTTGCTCTGAAGAGAGGTATTGTGGTGCAGTGATAGAGAGCCAACCTTTTTTTCGGGAAGACCCATTTCTGCTGTACACTGGTTATGTGAGCCTAGATAAGTCACCTGACTTCTGACTGCCGCAGTCTAAGATGATGAATTGGCAGTTAGCAGTCAGTATCTGCATTAGAAGGAGTTTCCACACCAGGAGTTCCTCATACCAATGAAAGTATAGGCCAAAACAAAGAAATAAGCAAAAACCTAAAATGTATCCCCCAAATCCTTGTTATGAAAGGAAGAAAGGAAGGGAGGAAAAAAAGACAGAAAGGAGGGAATGGAGAGAGGGAGGAGGAAAGGAAGAAG